CTTTTAGGTGGTGGAAGAATTCATAGCATAGGGTTCCACAGTTCCAAAACCAAAAAAGTCACAATCATTCAAACCATTTACTTCCCTTCTGCTATTCTGCATTAATCCGATTCTTTAGAGTACAAGAGTTAAGGAGGTCACAATACTGTTAGTATTCCTAAGCTAGATTGCTAAGAAACACAACTCAATGAGCATGATTCAGATTTTTTATGGTAGCTCTCTTTTTTCATTTCTTTAGAGAACCACCACCTTTACACTTTGTTTTCAAACAGATGCCCAACATTTAAGAACTACCTCCCTCCCTCATATTATTTTTAGCAGAACAACAGAGAACATGCAAAAACCACTTTGTGAAACCCCTAAGAGATGCAAAAGGGTGATTTTCATTGAAGACCGAAAGAAAGGAGTTACACGGCTCAAAGGGGCTAACTAGGGGTATGACACTAGGACAAACAATTTGGTCGTGGGCTAATCCTATGCCTCCATCATCTTAACTAGTGACAACGTGAATGCTACACATCATGGAAGAGGGATCTATCGCACAAGAAAGAAACGAGCAGGCTCAAATATCACATGGCTACCTATATGCTCTATCTTCCATTTTGATTCCCTGAACTAGATGCATAAACGACTATAGAAAATAAGTGGTAAATTCAAGTCACAGTCGATAAGCAAACAGTTGAAAAACTGAACCCCTACATGGTTCTACTGCACGTCTTAATCATCAATATAGGTTGTACTAATCACAAGCAAGTTACCATGCATTATGAGAACAACCAAAAGGAATAAAAACACTCATATTGGGTAAGTGTTAGGAACATCAGTGTCAGCCCCATGGGACAAAACAAAACAAACCAAAACAAGACATAACATATCATGTTCGACTCAACTCAACTCACAAAAACACAAAAGATAGAAAACATGGAACTCGCGAAACAAAGAGAGAAAATGATAGGAATGCAAACCAAGGTGGGGTTGCCTCCCCACAAGCGCTTTCTTTTACGTCTTTAGCTAGACACAGTCAGTGGATGATCAGAGAGGATTAAGAGCAGGTGCCCCCAAGAGCGGATCTACATCGCTCTTGAGGTACAACTTCATATGGTGGCCATGCACACGACGGTTGTGCCACCAGCACAGGATAGCTCGACCCGGCCATCCGGCAGGATGCACGCGAGCGAGTACTCGGATGGCCAGGGTGGTCGTGGTCCAGGATCTGGGATCAGCTCATAGTGGTCTCCAGATTTCGTTTTCCCTCGCTTGGATGACTGTAGCTTTGGCCACCTCTCCTCCTTGCGCCGCTCTGTTGGTAACTGTGGGGTCGGGAGTGGTTGAGGAGGAAGAAGTGCAGAAGCCTGCAAAATAGTAGACATAACAAGATACACGACAGACTCGTGCACCTGGTGAGAGACAACATGCAAGGGCGAGGGAGCAGTCATGTTAGGAGCGATGGAAAAAGGTCCCATCATTCACATTAATGAGAGCCTTGGCGGTGATCAGAAAAGGCCTACCTAGTATCAGGGGCACTTCTGCGTCCTCATTGATGTCCAAGACAACAAAATCCGCTGGATAAAAGAATCTGCCAACCTGAACTAGGAGGTCCTCTACTATACCCCTAGTATGAACTATTGATCGATAAGCTAGTTTAATACTCATCCCAGTTGCACTTGGTTCACCTAGGCCTCTTGAACAATTTATATGGTATAACATTGATGCTAGCGCCTAAGTCCACCAAGAACTTCTCTACATGCAATTTACCAATTGAGCACGGGATAGTGAAATTACCTGGGTCCCTCTTCTTCTGCGGAAGCTTGTTTTGCAGAATGGCCGAGCACTCCTCGCTGAGCTCCACAATTAGGGGTGGAAATCGGTACGGTATCGGTATCCCAATACCAAATACTGAAATCCCGAATACCGAATTACACTCTAGAATCAATCCCAATCCCTAAATAATTTCGGTATCCCAATCCCAATCCCTAAATATTTCGGTATCCCAATTGGTACTTCGGTATCCCAATAGGTATTATCAAATACAAAATTAATTAACTTTACAATTAATAATTAAATATATAAATTAGATTTGATTGTTTAATATAGGACAAAGAGACTAAACAAAGAGTTTTGAGTTTGGCTAGAGCTAGGATATGGATAAGGAGAATGGAGTAGAGGTGACATCTCAAGTTTTTGTCATTGGTAATCTTTAAATTGACGAATTGGAGGTTGAGAGAAGACTAATACTAGTGTTTGCTTTTTGGTGTTATGAAAATAACAATAGATTGGTGGTTGAGGGTAGTGTAGTAGTGAATGAGAGAGTCTAGTTGAGAGGATAAAATACACACTAGCTTATATTTCAGTATTGTTTGGTATTTCGGTATATACTGATCTCAATCCCGTAATCCCTAACACCGAATAGCAATTGAAATTGAATTCCAATCCCAAGAAATAATACGTGTATTCGGTAATACCAAATATAGACAAATTCGGTACGGTATTCGGTATATCCCAAATACCGGTACCAAACTTCCAGCCCTATCCACAGTGGACAGCTCACTCATCGTCTTCTTCTTAGTTAGGAGGTCTTTCAGGAACTTCGCATACTTAGGCATATGAGAAAGTGACTCTAGGAAGGGCACTTGAACATTCATCTTCTTAAGCATGGACATGAAGTTCCCGAACTCTGCCTCGAGCCAATCAATGTGCAGCCTAGTGGGAAACGAGAGTTTTGGCTTATATTCAGCTACCACTGGCTGGAGCTTTGGAGCTTGAGCCTCCAGCTCCTTTTCCGCCACCAGGTCCTCTGTTGGCTCTGGGGTGAGCTGTGTCACCCTCCTTGCATCCCGCGGTGTTGCATCCTCATTCATTGTTCCACTCCTCAGCATGATGGCGTGCAACCCCTCCTTATGATTTCCTGGATTCTGGAGTGGTTGGCTAGGAAGCGTTCCAGCTGGTCGGGATACAAGGGCATCTGCCAGTTGTCCGATTTTTGTTTCCATATCCTGCAGTAGTGCCTGCTGGTTCCTCTGACTGGCCTCAAGTTCATTGAATTTCCCCATAGCAAATTCTTGGAACTGGTCCATCTTGGCGAACTTCTCAGTACTAGTGCTCATGAAGTCTGTCACTATGCTACACCAAATGGTTCGAACTCTCACACCACTGGCACTGTGCTACTGGAGGTGCGGTCATGCCTCAGCCTGGAATAAGACTGTTAGGCTGCTTCAATGTCTGAACCAGCTTTGCCACCTCTCGCTCAAGCTCTGATCTGGCCTCCACGGCATAGACACCTCTGTCTCGAGAATTTCTACCTCTAGTGATCTGCCCCCAAGAATGATATTTGGAGGCCAAAGTACCGATCATCTGATTCAGCTCGGGTGGAGTCTTAGTGAGAATGTCTCCACCCGGACATAAAGACTCAATCAGTCACTGACTCGCCAGAGACAGAGCACTATAAAAGTTCCCCACAGTGAATGCATCACTAAATTTGTGATGGGGACACTTCCAAAATAGTCCGAGTATCGCTCTCAAGCATCTCGCAGCGACTCATCATCTTCTTGGCGGAAATGAGTGATCTCTCGCTGAATCTCCGCAGTCTTCGAGGCCATATAGTATCGGTGCACGAATTTGTTGGTCGAATCGTCCCAAGAAGTGATGGACAGTGGCGGCTAAGTCTCTAGCCACCTCTTCGCATGCCCCGCCGGAGAGTGGGGGAAGAGGTGAAGACGGATCGCGTCATCTGGTACACCATTCAGCTTGAACCCATTGGTAAGCTGCAAGAACCGATAAGGATGCACCATCGCCTCTTCATCCTTGATCCCATGGAACTAGATGGAGGATGTATCAACTGGATCCAGCATGGCTTAATCTCGAAGTTGTTGGCAGGGATGGGCGGGTACTAGATGACAGGGCAGATGTTAGCGATTCGTGGAGTGTAGAAATACTCCATTGTGGGCCCCTAGGGAGGAAACTGTGGGTTGGCATCGCCTGCCTGTGGAATACCGCCTCGAGGTGGGACTTGATTCACCTGAGGAGCCTGATTGGCATCCCCAAGGGTTGTTCCGGATTCATATTGTTCATGCGGATGTTCTCGCTGCTAATCCAACCGTCAATATGATCTTCTGTTGTAGCCAGTCTCGCTCGCTGCGCTCGCCTAAGTTGGCGACAAGTGGGTTCTAGCCCCGGATTCAATGGTAGTAATGCTTCCGACTGGCTACGGTTCATGCAATACATGCACACAGCTAAGCAAGGAAACCCGTGAAGGCACACAAGGGAAAGAAGAAAAATGCAGAAAAGTAAATGCTAAATAATAGATGTTCCCATTTCTCCAATAATCTAGAAATTCCCCGACAACCGCACCAAAAACTTGACACTCTACGACACAACACCAAACTGCGACCAAGTATAATCGCAAAATGGAAATGCAGAATAGTGGTTAAGTCTAATTATTGACTCGGGCTCTAGATCTACTGCCTACTCGATGTACTCCTATTATCTAGCAAGACAAAGCGAGTGAAATGATTTAAGTTTAAAAGAAACAAAAGCAAGTAATGGTCTGGTTCTTTTCAGGTTCAAAAGGTCATCCAGGTATGGTTGCCACTAGTGTGCAGCTAGTTCAAATTATACGGTCCCAAATTACTCAGATTGATAGATAAACCGCGGGAAGTTCTTTACTGATCTGGACTCTCGAATAAAGTTGTCCAGACCCTCTTGATTTGAATACATGGTGGGCGACTAATAGGGATGGCAGTTCAACCCGGACCCGCGGGTACCCAACCCGACGCAATCCGGTCAAACCGGGTAAAATCCGTGTTGACCGGGTTCGGGCCGGGTTCGGGTTTCAACCCGGTGGCTGGTTGGGCGGGTTGGGGCGGGTTCGGGTTTGGGGAAACCCGACCCGTGGATACCCGGACATACAACTATCAGCTAACCCTAATTTACCCGTCCCCAGAACAGACCCCAGCCCACTTCCCTTCCCAGACCCAATTCCCATTTCCCACAATTCACAATCCCTAATTCCTCTCCGTGAGACCGCCGCGACTCCTCTCTTCCTCTCTTCCTCTCCGTGAGACCGCCGCGACTCCTCTCTTCCTCTCTTCCTCTCCGGCCTCCGCGACTCCTCTTCCTCTCCGACGAGACCGCGACTCCTCTTCCTCTCCGGCGAGACCGCGACTCTCCACCTCCCGTCCCGACTCCCAATCCGACAGGCGACGGCCGCCCTGCCACCACCAAAACCTCTCTCGAGTTTCCGCCTCCATTTCCGACGCGCCCTCCCCCTCTCTTATCCACCTCCATTCCCGACGGGCGACGGCTGCCCCGCCACCACCAAAACCTCTCTTCTCCACCTCCCGTCCCGACTCCATTACCGGCCGCGCCCTCTCCGGCTCTCCCTGCTCCTCTGCCCCGCCACCCTCTCCGGCTCTCCCTGGGGAGTAAGAACAAGAGGAGGTAATAAGTTAATTTGTACGCCACTTGCTGCTGGGAGTTTATTCAGATTTGCTGGGAGTTAGTGGATTTTATTCAGATTGGCTAGGAGTTGGTGGATTTTATTCAAAGTTGCTGGGAGTTGGTGGACTGCCTCATCTCATCTGGGATTGTAATTTGCATTTGCTGGGAGTGGCTCGTTTGTATGGGGAATATGGTGTTGATTGTAATTTGCTGGGAGTGGCTCGTTTGTGTGGGGATTTTATTCAGATTGTAATTTGCATTTCAAGTGGGTTGATTGATGATTTAGAAGTTGATGTCTGTCTTGACGGATGGATGGAGGGACTCGGACTCTTAGGTGGAGAGGTGAAAAGAACTGGAAGTGGCTCGTTTGTATGGGGAATATGGTGTTTTTTCTTTTTTAATTTGGTTTACTTCTCGGGTTGGTGGATTTTTTGTTTTAAAAAGAATTTAATAGTTTGGGGTAAATTATTTGTTTTATAAATATTTTACCAAAAAAACCCGCGGGTACCCATCAACCCGCGGATACCCAGCGGGTTGGGTTGGGTTTGAGTTTTTCAAACCCAGCGGGTTTTACCCCGGGTTTTTTTGACGGACAAACCCATGGGTTTGGGTTCGGGTTTGGCAAAACCCGCCCCAACCCGACCCATTGCCATCCCTAGCGACTAACCTCCACCGGCATACACTAACCAAGGTTAAACACGTGAAACTCCCACTATTGGCATTTGTTCTAGTACAGAGCAGTGAATCGAATTCTCGACTAAAGCAATCGATTCAACACTTTCAATTAAATGTTGCTCTTTTAACCTATGCACAGACTATCGTTCTAGGTTAAAGCCGGAATTACACAGGTTTGATCAGGACTCATGCAATTCTAAATAATTCCTCAACTGAATTTATCAAATCAATCATTCATAACATGGGGTTCATACAATCATTCCTAACATACACAGCTAGGGTTCTTCATACCCAGATGAAAGGGAAAATTACTCCATGCAGAGATGAGAGAACATCATGCTCGGAGTAGACATCATCTGAACGACAATGGGCAACTATTCCTGTCGGCTAATTGGTACTCCGAGGTTGGAGAATCGAGCTCCGAGATCTTCAGATCGCTTTAATCCTTGCGCAAGGGTTTCTCTTCATCACTCTCTCTCTAGGATTCTTTTTCTGCCTTTAGAAGTCCAAAAATCTGGTTCCTCTGCAAATTTCCCGAGCAGCCTTTAAATAGGTTGAGATTCTGCGAGTTACGACCTAAGGTACGGCCGTAACTCGCCTTGACTGTCCATAACTTGTAGCATAACGATGTCGTTATTGCAATCCCTAAACCAAGAGTTACGACTTTCTTTGGGGATTTATGGTCTCTCCGTCACCGTAACTTTAAAAATGCTCCTGGACTGATGTTTATGCTTCCTAAGAGTTAGGGGTTCAATGGCTGAGTTACGGCCTTGATCGTAACTTGGAAGGTCAGCGCGTAACTCCTAGAAGCCTCCTAGAACCCTTCTTCCTTCAATTGCAACTTACGACTCCACTTGGCGAGTTACAGGCCAGACCGCAACTTGCAAGGTATGGTCGTAACTCCCAGGATCAATCTGCCCGTTCTCTCCAAAATGTCCCGAAACTTCGCTCTGTCGCGCCCATTCACGTTCTAAGTCCTGAAACATCATAAACTAACACGCACAAGTGTAAAATAGGCCACGAGAGCGAGAAACAAAGTTCAAACGGTCACTAAATGATGGGGAAAACATATTAGAATACGGCGTTATCAGGATCACCGATGATTTGGCTTTGGCTTGGCAAAGAGCCACAAATGGGTCCGTTTCCAAAAGTGCATCGAGGTCGAGTGGAAAGCTTTGGTAGCCCATATAACTTGTAGAAGCCTCATCCACTTCGACCTTGTCCATTGTTCGGATTCCAATTGTGTCTTTAACGTCCTCTCTTTCTTGTGAATAAGCTTCTCCGTGTTGAGTACCAAGTTCTTCCTCTTCTTCACTTTCTCTTCTCCTTCCCTCTCCCTCACAACCTCATCAATGCTCCATTCTTTAGTACTCTCTCATTGATGACTAGGAGCAATGATGGCTTCACAAGCAAGTTCTACAATAGATGGATCCTCAAGGCCCTCTTGCTTGTCCACCCTTGGGACTTCTTCTTCTTCTTCTACTACTTCCTCTTTTGCTTCATTATTGATGTCGAAGAGGTTCTCTTGATTGAGTCTCGAGCAAAATTGTTCAATAACTCTTTTGTTCTTCTCTATCCTCTTGAGCATCTCTTCTTGTTCCTTAAGGATGTCTTGAGTAGAAGGGTCGAAACTTTCCTTGATGCAAGATGTACCAATGGTCCCCACCTCTTGGAGCCAACTTTCCTCTAGTTTGACATCCTTAATTCGAAAACAACCAGGAGGAAGGTTGGGATCGCTAGCATCTAGGCAATCCATTGGGATGTTGTAGTGCTCAAACGCTAACTCTCTAAGGATCTTTGGTGTAGGTGGTGGTGAATAATGAAGTGAACTCCCACTCCCGGCCATGTGTTTTTCTAACTCGAGCTCCAAGAGGCTCTTTGGTTCCGGGGTTGGAGTTGAGTGAGTTGTCTCAAGGCCATCTAGATATAGCATATATCCCTGAAGTCGCTCAATGGCCATCTCCAACTCGGTCTTCACCATAGTCTATGGAGGTGGTTCTTGGTATGATGGGTGAGATGTTTGGTAATCGTGGAGGTACGATTGATAGGTATGGAGAGGTGGTTGTTCTTGACACCGGGATCCTTGGCTAGCCCCTCGACTAGAAGCTTCGAGATACCACCAATTCGGTGGTTGGTGATCTCCCCACTCCTCGTTCCAACCATATGGATCCATTATTCACAAACTACAAACAGCAAAAATACTAAAAAGACAATCAAATACACACAAGCCACCCTTCGGGGGAGAAGAGTGGGTAAAAACAATTCACAAAAAGAAACAAACGCGAAAATACAAAAACAGAAACAACAACGCAAAATAAAACAAACCATTAAAACAAGATAAAGAAAAACTAACAACTTAATGGTTTTCTACTAGTTACCAAGGTTCCCCGACAACGGAGCCAAAAAGCTTGATCACTTGAATCTATGCAGGTTATTGTTGGTGGTTTGCATGTATCAACAACTATCACATCCTAAGCCAAGTTTAACCTAGGACGACATTGTTGTATAGTGGTAATCAAGGTCGTATTCTACTCGGGTCCTGGTACCCTAGCCTACTTCACCTTGTTGTTAATTAGGTAATCGGATTTTGAGGTTTTGAGTGGAGGATATGAGGAAACACTAGCCTATATGTTGATCAAAATTAAAATCAAGTACTTCGGGGAACTAATCCTCCCCCTAGCTTAGGGATACTATGCATGTATAGATATTTAGGGTTATCGAATTTGGTGAGTGAGCTCTTTTCCGTGGGCCTTCGTCGTTATCCACACGGCTCTGAGTATGCCTCCCCTAAACCTATGTTTCAGTCACCTCGATCTAGGCTATCGTATATGGGGAATTAAGCTTATGGCTCATTTTAATGGACACTATCCACTGTCCACACTGAGGTTTCATCCCGGGTTTCATCTATGAAGGCTACCTATAGCAGGGGTATGGTCGCCTCAACCACTATAGGCCCCCATTCACTCATCTAACCTAAACTCGCCAGATAGCGCATACTCGTCTAACCCTAGAACTCTGTACCCAATGCGGTAGCATAAAGCAGGCTTAGAGGGAAGATTGGGGCCAGTTGCCCAAGCGTCATCATTTAGGAAAGAGTGACATTAAGAATCTACTAGACAAACACATTCATTCATTCAAACCTAAAATATCCATACATACACATATACATACATACATACATACATACATACATAATAAACCCTAAAACAAGGGTTTGGGGTTTAGAACCCCTAGCACCTTAGAGGACTACACCATAAAGGAGGGAAGAAGATACATGTCATAAATAGATGAAGACTTGAAGTTGGGGAAGATCCTCTTTGCTCCTTGCTCCTAGCTCCTCCTTCTCTTCTTCTCCCTTCAGCTTCTCTCTCTTCTCTCTCTAGATCCAAAAATTTCACCCAAAATCAGCTTTCTTAAAATGGGGAAAGGGGGTCTTCTATTTATAGGCATTCTGGACTCAGGGAAGTTGCCCCTTTTCTACACTTGTGACCTTGTTTTGTACCTAATTTGCACATATTGACTAATACACTCTATAATCACATCAAAATCAAATATGAACGAAATAGGGATGTATTTGACAATGTTTAAACACTTAAACACATGAATTGGCACAAAACATACCCTAAAATGGAGGGTAAATAACACTGATTTTGGTGTTATCACACGTCTAAGAAACCATGTCTACTTCAACTAGGTCTCCATGTGCACTAGGACGGCATCTAAATTATTAACACTCCTTAACGTCCCAAAGGGATAATACATATGGCTTAAATCACTTGCTATTAATGTCAAACTCTGGTCAAGTTGGCACTTATAAAAGCTGGACGTGGATCATCTTAGTGCCAAGATTGATCTTCTCCAACACGTCACATGCGGCAATGTGTTTGCCATCTTTTCCACCCTTACTTGAACTCTTTTCTTCCACTATTACTTCATCATCAGGCACATAATCAGCCATCAACACATGCTCCATATACATAAGCCTTTGTTCATATTGGTATGATTTCGGCCTCCTCTGCCACCCTTGTATGGAGTGGCTTACTCATTTATAGATGATGACTCAGCTTGGGGTGAACCATCCACAACAAACATTGATGGTATCACAATTTCAGAGAGGGTCAACACATGCTTTGCTCAACAGCACTGGACATCACCATGGTACATGATCCACCACTGTCTTGATCTCCAGAGGGACAAATTCCTCATGATAAAGGGGAGCTTACGCTATATTGGACCCAAC